ATTTACTGGCACACAGCCACGTCCATCCATTCATGTATTATTTATGGCGGCTCTCTGTGACAACAGTGCAGTTGCCATGACAGGAGCCGTGTGGCCCACAAAGCTGAAAATACTATGTGACCCTTTAGGAAAAGGTGTGCTGACCCTAACCCAGAATAAGCCTCCATGGGGCACTTTTTTTAAGGACAACCTACCCACAAATACAAACGGCCCCATCGGGCATATGAACGGAGGCATCACGGAATAAAGGCACTTCTAGCTCTGAATTCTCCGCTCAGGCTAGCCAGGGCCATGGAGTCCCAGGTACTTACAGCTCCTTGAGATTCTTCATCTTCACAAAGGCATCAGACTGGACAGATCTGATCGCATTCTCTCCAAGGTTCCTGCAAAAGAACAGTCTTTACTTATGCAGACAAACCCTGGGCACCCTTCAAGTCAGCCATGTGTGGAGCTGAGAGGCTCAGGAACTTTCAGGGTAGTCCCGGTTTCACCTGTGTGCCAGAGATACGAGCCAGACCCCACGTCCCAAGTCCACTCTACGTGGCTGGGACAAGCACGTAGGACAACCTCGGAGGCACGCCAGCCTGGGGGCAGCATCAAAGCTGGCTTGAGACCCGCTCAGCAAGTCAGCAGGCAAAACCTTTCCGAACAGAATTCAGGTTGAACTGGACTCCCAAACAAAACAGACGAAGAAGAATCAGGTACTAGGGGCATCTGCCCTCGATGGTGACAATATCTGCCACTCTGCGAGCTGGCTCCATCCTCTTCCTCCCAGGCGCCCAGAGGCAGCCACAGCAGGAGAAACCCTCCTGGCCAAGCCCCCCATGTGCTCGGCCCGGTGAAGCTGCTGCAGCAGGGCGGTCGGCCTGGGCCGGGCCAGATCGCCTGCACCGAGGTGAGGAGCCTGGGGTCTGTGGAGGAGCCAGGGCCATGGTGAGGCAGGGCAGGAGCGGGGAGGAGGAGGTATTTATCCAAACAGCAGCCACGTTAATTAGGAGCTCACCGACTGGCCATATGTTCTGTAACTGTTCCTGGCATGGGCAAAATAAAGGCCAAAGTTGAAGCTGACTTATAATGAGAAGGAAGCAGCTGGCGTTTCCAAATAGGCTGTTTCTCAGTTTACAAAGATGTGATTAAATTGCTAGCAGACTTCCCCGGCAGCCGCATTTGGCAGGCCAGTGGGTCAGGGAAGGTCTGGCGAGATACTCACAGGTGCTCCAAGCCTTCCAGCCCCGAGAAGGCTCTCTTAGCCACGGACTTGATCTTGTTTCCAAACAGAGTGCTGCCATTTCCAAACATCCAGAGACAGGGAAAACCCAAAAAACAAAAATGGAGGGGGAGAGACAAGGGAGGAATGGGAGAAAGAGAACACACAATTAGGGCACTGCCATCTGATAAGACTGTCCTGTGAGGGGCAGGTAGAAATCTGACCTGCACTCAGATTACGGGTCTGAAGTGTGCAGGCCTTCCCCCTTTCTGAAATAAAATACTTTTATCTTTATTCGAATTTAACAGCGATGACAGGTTGCAATTGCACACACCGTCTCCTGAAAAGGCTCCTTGCAGTGTTCAGTGGAAAACCCCCTCAACCAGCCCGGGCTATCTCTGTGGACCACCCACGGGCTTCATGGGAAAGAGGGGACTGATCGCCGTTCCAGGGAACAGCAGCGGAGTTGTGGAAGGGAATGCAAAGGCAGGGTGACCTACCACCCATGCTGAAAACTGGGGATTAAAGGTTCCCAAAGGAGGCAAAAAGAGGGCAGGAAAATGCTCTTTGCACCTGAGACGCACCCTGGTAGCCAAGATGTGGCCACAGTGAGCTGTGCCTCTGCCTGTGGGAAGGCCCCTAGGGGGTGCAGGGCGGGCCTGCAAGAGCCTTTCGGTAGCAAGAGCCCAGATGCGTTGCTGCTGCTGTTGAGCGCAGATTTCAAGTGATGCCCGAGGTTCATTAAATCCCAGACAGGTAGTCAAAGGTCAACCTCCAAGGTTATCAGATACCTGTACCCCCGGACTGCCCACCCGTGAGAAGGGGCCCCTACTTCCAGGCAATTCCAACCACAACCTCCACAGGAACTACCCAGAGTTTTCCCAGAAACCAAAACCTGGCCCCTTGCAACACACACGGAGCAAAGGAATGCTGTTTCTGCTGCTGGGCTACGTGGTCCGAAGGAAAGCCTGTTTGGGGGGGTGAGGGGCACCCTCCTCACCGGCAGACACTCTGGTGATAGCCCAGCGGGCATTCCCTCCACCTCCTGCAGGCGCACCCCAACGCCATGCCGACAGATTCGCGGGCTCTCCAACCTGACGCCCAGTGCCATCATCTAAAGGGCTCCTAGGAACGGGGGCCGCTGCGGAGCCCGAGTCCCAGCTCCGGGAGGGGTGGCAGGCGGCCCTCAAGGAGCCCCGGTGCCGTCTGGGAGCCCACCGACCACCGGAGATCTCCGCCGAGCCCAGGGCTACCTTCCAGGGCGGCCGGGCGGGAGCTGCCACACGGGCCCTGAGCTGCGGCCGACTGCTCGGGGCTCCTGGGGTCCCCCGGGCAAGCTCGGGGGGACCCTGGGACGACGGGGCTGTGCGTGGACAGGCCCGGCCAGCGCCACAAGCCACAGGAGGCACGTCCCCCGCCCTGCTCTCAGGGGCACTTGCAGGGGGGTGGCCGGGTCCCCCCAATTCACTAGAGAAGGCTCCTCCCCTCAGGGCCTCAACCAGCGGCTCTGAGCTCAGCCTTGCGTCTCCACCTCTGGGAGGCCGGCCGGCCCGAAGGCCGGGGACCCCTCTGACTTCTCTTGTTCTCGGACACGGCCTGTGAGAACGTGAAAACGACCTCCTCCTAAGAGTTTCCGCGCGCTCTCTCCAGCTGAGGCTTTTATTCTAAAACAAATGACCCGAGCACGCAGAAATCCGGTGGCCACGCTGACGGACGTTCCCTAACCACAAAGCTAGCCCAGCACCAAACCCAAGCATCTGCGAGAGCCTGCCGACTTCTCCCTTCCTCGGATCCCCCGGGCCGGGTCACTGTGCTCCAGGTCCTAATAAAACCTATTAACTGTTTAGGGAAATCTTCTGTAAACTAGATCCAGGAAAAAGCTGTGCTTTATTTCCTCCGTGACATATTAGTCACGTTGACCTCTTTTACAGTGAGGGCAGACTGTTATTTCTAATGGTAACAATAGCAATAAAACAAATTCTCAATTATGTGGGGGTTAATTATCCTGCTGGTGGATTAAAATACCCCCTTCCATTCTCCAGGCGGACATCTGGGGTCGCGGCTCAAGCAGGCAGGCTGGGCCGGCTCCAGCCAAGAGTGGGGCTGCGGGGAGAAAGGAAGGCCGGGTCCACGGGCTGGGGGAGGCTCGTTCCGTCCTCACGACTGTGGGCGGCTGAACCTTGCCTGCACCTGATCTGGGGCTCCCAGAGAGAGGCCCCACAAGTCAGCCATCCACCCTCTTCCGCATCTCTGCTCCCAAAGGCCTTTCAGGTCTTGCTAACAGCCCTACGGATGCCGGGCGGGTGCTAAGGTGGTGCTTGTACTGACCCGAGGAGCCGTGCCCTGTTGACCCCACTCCCCTACCCCTCCTCTGCCTGTGACAGTGAATAGTCCCCTGTAGGCCCTGCCATCCTCCGTGAAGACAGGAGGGCAGCACCTACCAGGCCTGCCCTGCCTCACTGGCATCAGGAGGCCTCGTGGCAAGATCCAATTCTTCGTTTCTCCCACCACTCCCCTTTGCACACTCCCTGCCCCACCCCAGGGAGTGCCATGGAGAGAGCTGGAACCATGGGGCAGCCACTCGCCTGACCCTCCCATACACAAGCGACTGACCACTCCCCTCTGCTCCTACTTGTGCTCCAGAAAGCCTCCTTCCCGCCTCCCGTACCATGACCCTGCGCAGACCCCCAGGAAGTGTTCCACCAACATTATGAGTGGGGCCGTGGCGGCGAGGTGAGAGGTGAGCGAAATCATCACAGGTCAACTGGGCAAGCTCGCTAGAGCTGTTAACCTTCTCGCCCTGCCAGGAAGCTCAGACCGAAGAACTATCCAGTCCAGCTGTATTCCGCAAGTGGAAACATGAAGGGCAGGGCTGCGTCCAGCACATCTGCACAGAGGGAAGCCTTTTATGGCCCTGCTGCTCCCTTGTTCCTTCCTTGGAAAGGACTTTAATTTCGGTCTGACCTGCACGGCAGGAAGGGCCCCAGGTCCTTGAACAACTGAGTGAAGGCAGGAACATCTCTGGTCCCATCCTCAATCCCCAAACACCTTCCTGCACGTGCTTCAAGGGCAAGCCCGCACCTGGTCGGAGGGACCCAGCGCCGACCGCAGCCCCACAGGATGAGGGAATCTGTGGCGTGACGGCCCTATAGAGGCAGCCCTTCTCTGCTCACACTCCAGACCCCAACGCCCCCACCACCAGGCTGCTCACACAGCGCAGCGCGGGGTCACGGCCGGGAGCTTCCAGGTGGTGCTTGAAGGGGACCAAAGGGAGGAGAGTCCAGCACTGGCCCCTTCCTTCCCTCGTCCATTAAGGGTTTCCTCGGCACCTTCTCACACCCCAGGGAGTGGCTTTTAACCAGAGCTGGGACCCAGGGTCAAGGGAAAGCGTATGCTTTTCCTTCTTTCCCCCTTTAACGGAGAAGATTCCACACACCGCCACAGCTGGAGCATCACAAACGCTACCTGTGCCCGTTACACAGCTGCACCCATCGCCCAGTGGTGCCAGTCTTCTCTCACCTCTGGAGCATCCCCCCGCCCAGCCCAGCTGGCGGAACAGGAATCCAGGTCACAGGCATCATGCCATTTTGTTTTTCCATCCAAGAGGAGGAGGATTTTTTTTTTCTTTTGCAACATAACCACGAGACCATCCCATCTCAGTAAGTGCATATATTTAATCATATTAAGCAATTCCTGTCCCCATTTCCCCCAACTGTGTGCTTCCTGCCTTTATTCTAAAACATGAACAGAACCTCCGGCCCCAAGACTCTGATGAGTGGGGCTGGGTGGGAGGAGGCTGGAGATGGCATGTTTCACCAAGGTCCCCGGACTCTCGGGACCAGGTCAGCGTGGAAGGCGCTGCCCTCAGGGAGCCTGTGTCCAACGTGAGGCACACGGGCTAGGACTTGAGGTAGAACTGCTGAACCTGGTCCAGCGGGTGAAGAATGACAAAACACGGGAACACATAGCAGTGACGGGGAGAGGCAACGCCAGGCTCCAGGCGCAGGCCGCACTCCACAGAACCAGAAGCCCCAGCATCCCTGGGGCCACCTGCCCTCACGTGCAAGAGCCTCTGGGAAGCCCTGCTGCAGGTCCCACTGGGGGGGACAGACCCCACAGAGGCCCCAGTGGCGCTACCCGCCCCCCGTGCCCACTCTCCCACACCTGTCACTGAGGGCCCAGCCAGGCAGGCCCAGGGCAGTGAGGCCCTTGTAGGATGGCTGCTCGGCATCCTCGGCCCTCGTGGCACCGCCACTGTGCCGTCCTGGCTCTTCCCAGGCTTGCTAGGTCAAGGGGCCAGGAAGCGGGGAGGAGGGGGCACTTTTTTAGGGGAAGGAAAAGGAAGGCAGACCTTTGGTCACGCTGTCAGACGCTCACACTCTGCTAGGCTCACTGTCCCCAAGCAGGCTGGGGGCGATGCAGCGGGGACCGCCTCTGGCCATCTGCCCAGACCCTCCCTCCGACTTGCTAGTCAGTGGTCACGGTCACTCCTGTTCCCACTCCTGGAGGCTCCTTGAGGGCTGGTGACGCACAGAGGGAAAGCAGGCGGGACGAGGGAGAGCAGCGCGAGCTCTGGAGCTGGACCGGCCGGCGCTGACCCTCCCCGCCGTGTGGTCTGCGGCAACATCCTTTCACCTGCCTTTCCTCGGCCACGACGTGGGCGCACGATAGAGCGTGCTCGTGAGGTTGTTAGATACGACACACGTACACATGCCCTGCGGAATGAGTGACAAATTCTAGGGGCTTAACTACAGAAACCTTGACTAAAGTGTGGTGCTGTCATATTAGCCCATGGTAACGGCTATTCCTCTTTAACGTTACGACGACAACAAAAGTATGGGCCAGAGACTCCAAACCACTAACGGTACCTGGCTTTAGAATTTCACACAATTTCTAGCAGTTGGAAGAGGGCAAGATTTCCTTGTGCAAAGCAAGACAAAAAATATTTAGTTGTTTTCATGTCAGTCACAAGTTCAGCAAGAGAGGAAACCCAACAGGCCTCTGAACACCAGGTCTTCAGCCGCAGGGAAACCAGCACCCGGGGCAGTGGGAGACGGCGGGCCAGGGAGAGGCCGGGACGCCTTGGCGCTCTTGTTCAGACTTTTCTTCCCAGACAAAAGATCAGTGCGAGCCAGCCCTGCTCCAGCTGGGCCCAGGACACAGGAGGCAGGGAGAGCCTCAGAACCGTGGTGCACCAGCTCCACAGAAGCCACGGCGGCGCCGAGATACTCACAGCTTGCTCAGACTGTCAAGCCCCGTAAAAGCACCGCTGGTGTCCTCTATTGTGCCCGAAATCTCGTTATGGTCCAGATCCCTGGGGAGGAGACAGAAAGAAGGCTCACCATCCAGCCCGAGTTCTCCACTCTCTTTAACATCAAGTGGGAAAACAGACGGACGCCCAGTCTGCGTCCTGGAAGCCCCAAACCAGTGTGTATTCTAGATGCCCAGCTGTAACGTACGGTCAACCCAAGAGCAAGTGCTGAGCTTCGAGAAGCCTGTTCCACACACCCCGTCGAGAGGCTGGCCGCCTCAGCCTTCCCACAAAGCTGCCATGTGCCTCAAGCACGCAGCTCCCCCAGCTCTGTGGCTGCTCCCCACGTGCGGAGGGTCAGGCCCCGGGGTGGGAAAAGGGTGCAGACAGCACATGGGGAAACCACCTCCCCCCACCGCCTGCCCCACAGCAGGCATCTGCCCACAGGCACTGAGAATGAGCCAGAAAGGCTCTTTAAGGTTCCTGTCTGCCCTCACACCAACCAGAATCCCTCTCCTAGACTTGACTAAGAGGCCACCGAAGGCACACGGAGGAAGGAGATGGGGGAGACAAGAGGCCCCGGCACAGGGTCCTCCCCGGGGCCACTCGGTGCTGGCAAGTGGGTTGGGAGGCCGGAGTCGCCCCTCCTTGAGGGGCCTGCACAGCCGCTGACTCGGAGCCAGGGACGACATCTGGGCGCTGAGTCAGACTTGTGACCCACTTGCCAGGGCTGGCGGACTTCTCAGCCCAGTCTCCTCCAACAATGCAGATCACGAGGCGGATGACTCAGCTTCCTCCCCCAGCTCGCAGGGCAGATCACAGCGGCGGGCGAGGCCCCCACCTGGTGACCAGGCCCCCACCCTGCCCCACCAGAGGCTGCCCCAATGTCCCCCACGGTTCTCTGGTGCCTACGCCTTCCTCTCCTGCACTCTTGCCCACGACACAGGCAAGAACAAAAAGGGATGCTGCTCCGGGCCCCCAAGAGAGCCTTCCAGAGCAATCAGCACTGCCAGGAGGGAGGGGAGCTCCACTGGAGAAGTACAGTGCTCGCTCTGACCTTTATCTTAGAGCAGAAAGCTCGAAGCGCCGAGATTCTGCTGCTGGAAGGAATCCCTCCTTTCAATGGGTTTCTCCCTATTATCTTCAAAATGAAAGCCTGGGACCCACGGCTGCCGCTCTGTGGGCCTGTCTCCCTGCTCCTCGCTCTGGCTGCCAAAGCTTTTCTCTTCTTTCTGGCTCAATCTGAATGTTGCTGGCCTTGTTGTTCGGGCCTCGCAAACGCTCAAAGGCTGGCTGACCTCGGCTTTAATAGCCTGGCATCCGGGCTCTTTCACACTCCTGACAATGGCCCAGCACTGAAGCCTGCTCTGGCCTCTTTGCCAGGTGCAAGTGCACAGCCTTCCTGTCACACTGGAGCAGGCCCTCTGTGCAGCGGGGCATGTCGGGAAGGAGGCTTCGTATCCCACTCTGTCTGGTGGAAATCACCCACCCTTCTCTGGGGGCTTCATGCCCATGGCTGCCTGGAAGTTCTCTGGAGCCAAAAAAAGAAAAATTGTAGCTCCCAGAAAAGCATCCTGAAGCAACTTCTGGCAACCCCACCTCATAAGGAACTGAAAAGAAAAGGACGTTACGGCCTCTCTTTTGTTAACCCTACTGAAGCTCAAGGACAGAAATAGGATTTCCCATTACATCCCTTGAAATGGGGCCTCCTGGACACAGAGCGTGCCGAAGGTGCAGGGGGAAGATTCAAGATGAGACAGCCTGAGCACTGGCTGCGGTTCCAGGGGATGCTCCCAACCGTGGGACCCTAGCATCCCGCCAAGGGCATGGCAGGAATTACTGCTCTGCGAATGGCAGGTTTCAGAGCCACTGTCACCCTCTGGGCACCACCCATGGGGACTGAGAGGCATTTTTCTGCTCAACCGGTTCTTTTTTCAGTTGATGCTCTGAAAAGTGTGATGCTCTGCACACATAGGTCAGCTCTGGATCGGACTCTGACACGAAAGCAATGAGGAGGGAATTCAGGGCGGCAGCTGGCTGACTCTGTTCGGCCTTCTGAGCCAGGGACCCCTGCATTCTGTCCACCCCGCAGTGAAGGACGTACAGGACACGCAGGTTTTTGAGTCCCTTGAAGGCGCCTTCTGCGATGTGGCTGATGGAGTTGTGGCTGAGGCGCAGGATGCTCAAGCTACTCAGGTCGGCCAGGCTCTCCTCGTCCAGCCGGGTGAGATTATTGAAGGACAAGACCCTGGGGAAGAGAAGCAAACGTCACCGTCACATAACACAGATGCGCCCTGCCGTCTCCTGAACACCGAGCCGCGCTCAGCAGGGTCTCGGTGGGACAACAGGACGTTGGCAGGCTCGCGGGGATCCCCCCCAGAGGGCCTGTGCAGCTGGTTACCCACCAGGGCCCCACACCCGCAGAGTTCGGCTCCTGGAATATTTGTGTAAATCACGGAGACCGGAAGGTGTGTTGAGCTGTGAGGATGACACAAGGTCATACAACACAGGAACCGTCAAGCTCCAATCCCTCACGCCGGGTCCGTGGGGGGTCCTGACTCAGCCTATCAGGGACCTCTCACGACAGGGGCCTGAGACCCTGGCCGGGACCCAGCGGGATCGGACAGGGAGCAAAGAAGCCCTGTTAGACTCCCGACACCGGCCAGCACAGGGCACCACTAGCCGCTGCATGGAACCAGCCTTCCTCCCAGGAACTCCTGCCTGGGGGGGCCAGGGTCCCCTCTCCTGCCCGCACCCCAGCGGGCCTCCTGGAACCTCCTCGCACGATGCCCCCCTACTGCGTGCAGGGCAGGGAACACACCCCCGAATCACACATCTTCCCTGAGCATCGAATCAAACCTTCCTCCCAGCATGCCTCCCGCACACGGCCCTGGGTTGGTTACTTGGCCTATCCTTCATCTTTGAAAAGTGGAAAATCTGGGCTGGGCCAGGGGGAGAAGATCAAGGAGTTTTTTAAAGGCTGCAGAGAGTAACATTATTTCCCTCCTGGAGAAATAAGTCATGGTGTCTGTCTGTCGGGAAGACCTGGCAAGTGATTAAAAATACCTCCTCACCTGCAACGACAGAATTAAGCTTATAGGCAGGGCCGGAAATGCTGGAAAGCAATCCTAAATCTGGCTCTGAGGCTACTGGATGTCTGGCAAACTGACAGGCGGTTGAGGCATTTCTGTGACCTTCTCTGCCCCTTGTCATGGGGATGGAGGACAGCTCATGTTGCTCTACCTGCCAGAGGGGCACGGGGGACACACCTTCACTGCTGCCTCCAAACCAGGGCCGCGCACAGCCTTCAGCCAGTCAGAGCTCGGCTCCTCACTCAGCAACTGGCCTGGCCCAGGCACGGCGGACTCAGGAGGCCCCTCTCGCCTCCTCATGGCTCTCAGGCCTGGACAACAACCAACCAGGAGTCCTGGGGTCTCCCTGGTGGGGCCACGGCCTGAGCCGAGAGCTGGTCAGAAGCAAGGATCTGCTTGCTTCCTCCAAAAGCACCACCCAACTCCCGCATAGGGGTCAGACACAGGCATGACCACCGGGCACCTGCAGTGCCACTTCCATGGTCAGGGACCCATGGCACAGTGGAAGGCCCAGGCCCTCCTGCCTGGAGCCGGGACGTCACTCGTGGTCTCGAGGATGTCCATGGCTCAGGATTCCCAGTCCCTGCCCACAGCCTGGTCTGGAGGTGTCTGGAGGGAAGGATGGGCCACACGCCATCCAAGGAGGAGTACGTGCACATGCGCCTCGGCACGGGCCCCTGCCACCCAGCCACAGGGGTGCAGAGCAGGGACACAGAAGGAGCCGAGGGCCCGGACGACTTGTCTAATGGAAGGAGGGTGGACACTCTGAGGATGACATGCAATTCTCCCACTATCAGGGTGTCACCATCTCTCAGGGCCAGGGCCCAATAAACCCTGTCACTAGAGGAGCACATGTCACTGGGCGTGCCCACTAATGTACAAGAGGCTTCCCTTCTAGAACAGAGCGCTCTACCTCAGAAACTCTCCAAGGCCAACCCTGGGGCTCCAGCTAATCTGAATGCAGGGGTGTGGAGAGGCCATCAGGAGGGAGTCCAGCTCAAAGAACTGAGGTCCCGCTCAGGGCTCAGCTGGCCGGAGCTGTGTCTCCCATCCCAACCCGACACAGGCCATAGGCCTGCCCGCCCCTGAGTGCCTGAGCCTCCCAGGCCACTGTGGACCCACCAGGCTTAGAGCTTTCCCACCCCAGCAGGGTCACCCACGAGCAGAGTCCCCGAGTCTCTCCACACACAGCAAAAGCGGGACACTTACAGCTCATGCAGCTTCGGGCAGAAGCTCCAGCCTTCACGGTTAATGCGAGCGATGGAGTTGCTGCTGAGGTGGAGCTGGTGCAGGGCCGAGAGGCCGTAGAGCCAACCCCTGTTCACCTCCACCAGGCTGTTGTACTCCAGGTGCCTGCAACGACAGCGCACAGGGTGAGGACGGTCCCGCCGGTGGTCTGCTCTCATGTGCACACCCATCACGTCCTCGGGTCACACGCTAGTGGGCACTGAGGATCTGACAACAGCGCAGACGAGGATCGTGGGGTCTGGGGGGTGGGGTGCAGGGGGGCATCTATGTGTGTGCGTCTGGGTCGGACATTGGGGAAGACAGGCAAACCCAACAGATGGCAGTGAGCGCCCAGGCTGACTCGGGAGTTCAGAGGGCGAGGGGACACTTCCTTGAGGTGACCTTTCTTAGCCGAGTACACGTGAACCAGGCACACAAATGGGCAGAGGGGTTCCAAGCACAGGGCACAGCAGATGGCCGAGCCCATGAAAGGAAGAGAAAGGAGAGAGAACGGGGGTACCTTGTATCCCCCCCCTTAGAGATCAGAAAACTGGGGCTGGGAGAAGGTAAGTAACTTGTGTAAGATTCATTCCTTAGCTCTGCAAGCTGTGAGGGGCCAGATTTCAAACCCAGGCCTGGCTAACCACATGTGGGCTCTGGACCCTGGCATCTAGAGACACGCCTTAGCTCTGGGGTCGGACTACTTGGATTTAAATCCCAGTTCTGCTACTTTACTGGCCGAACAGGGTTGACACATCTGTAAGATGGAGTGACCCCAGGGTAGCAACTTTGCAAGGCTGTTAGGAGAAGCCAACAGGACGATGCCGCGCTAGAATTTCTGCACGGCGCTGAGGACTTCACTCCCACCAAGAGGCTCCAGTGAGGACACCTTACCCTGCTTCTCGACCCTGCACAGCCCAGCCCAGGACGACCCCACTGCACTAGCTTCTTGAATAAAAGTTACTAATTCATATGTTGCCCCACGTTCAGTATTATAAGGCCTTCGGGCAACCAGGGTTTCTTTTTATCTGTCTCACTTTTTGCCGCTGCTCAAAAGGTGAACACTCCGTTTATAACCTCTCAGGCACCTCATCACCCTCGACATGTACGTATTTGCTCAACCTAAAAACCAAATGCCATGTGCGGACTCCATTTTCTTCTCAGAACTCTCTTTAAATCTCGGCACACCACCTCCTGGATTTCAAAGTTTAGAATAAGTTTTTAGGAGGTCACGAAAAAGTGCTTTTGAATAGATAGAAACAGACGAGTGGCCAAGCCAAGGACCAGGAAGAAAGGGAGAAGCAAGACCGCAGTGCTAATGCTGATGCCCTCACCTCGCAGAGTGTGGGTGGGTTTGGGGGTGGGTAGGAATAGAGGGTCATCAGAGACACTTTTGATAATGAGCATAGCGCAGAGCTGAAGAAACGGGATGTAGAGTTTTTGTTTTCTGTCTCCGTTGCAAAAATAACAAAAGACATGAACGTAACTTGCAGTCTGGAAGGGAGGATGTGTGTATGCACGCATGTGTGCATGTGCGTGTGTGTGCATGGCAGGTTCCTGAGCAAGTTACATCATTAACCATAACACATTTCCAGTTGATCAACAAGACAGGGGGAAGTAAACCAACAAGGCAGGGTCCCTGGTGGGCTCAGTCAGTGAAGCCTGTGACTCTTGATCTTGGGGTCATGACTTTGAGACCCACATTGGGTGTAGAGATTGTTTTTTTCTCAAGATTTTATTTATTTGGGCAGCCCGGGTGGCTCAGCAGTTTAGCTCCGCCTTCAGCCCAGGGCCTGATCCTGGAGACCCGGGATGGAGTCCCCCGTCTGGCTCCCTGCATGGAGCCTGCTTCTCCCTCTGCCTGTGCCTCTGCCTCTCTCTCTCTCATGAATAAATAAAATATAAAAAATTTATTTATTTGTTCATGAGAGGCAGAGACACAGGCAGGGAGAGAAGCAGGCTCCTTGTGGGGGAGCCTGATGTGGGACTCGATCCCAGGACCCCAGGATCACGACCTGAGCCAAAGGCAGATGCTCAACCACTGAGCCACCCAGTTGCCCCAGTGTAAAGATTACTTAAAAATAAAACCTTAAAAAAGAAAAAAAAGAAAAACCAACCAGGAAAGGGCTACAAGAGACTGCCCTTCACAAGAACCAGGGGAAAGAGAGAATGGGGAGCAAGGGGCCACAGGCACTTTTGTGTACCCTCTGATTTTACTCAGTTATGAGAGTACTGCCCATTGAAAAGAAACTAATTTAAATGTTTAAAAATGGAAGATCAGTAACTGCCTTTTCTGCCCCTCTCTGTTTTACGGGACTCGCAGGCGAGCAAGCTCTGCAGCCGTACACATCTGGCTGCAAAAAGTGCTCCCTTGATAACAGTGGAACACCTGCATTGAGTGGCTTGATTAGCTCACTAAACATAAGTAAATCTCCCAGGGTGAACTAGATGTTTTGGGGCCCACCTGCACATCTAGACGGTCATATCCAAAACAGGGAGACAGGGAACTTCCTGTAGCACGTGGGAGAGCGGAGGGTGCAGGAGGAGGCCCACTCTGCACCCCACTGCTCGCTGAGGCCTTGGCAAGGGGACAGAAGCCCAAGCACAATGGCTCCTTCTTCTACCTTCACCAACCTGCTTCCCTGACCAAACCCATCAAAACTCCCCACCGAGATTTTCCTAACCTCTGAGGAAAATACCCTTGGATTGGGCAAAGTCACCAAAGCTACTAAGCTGTGCCCAGCCTCCTGAGACCCAAAGGGCAGGGGGCCAGGTGCGGCTAGAGTCCTAAATGATCCCTGCAAGGCAATGCGGGCTGAATGAGCACACACAGGTCCGCAGCGCCTGTACGAAGCCTGGGCCCTGCCCGGAACCCAACACCACACTTACAGCACGTGTATCCTGGACAGTCCCCAGAAGGCCCCATCCGTGAGCTTGCTGATGTTGTTTCGCTGGAGCTTTAGCACCTCCAAACTGTCAAGCCCCTGGAATGTCAGGCCCTCGATGACCCGAATCCGATTCCTATTCAGGTCCCTGAAGGGATGAAGATAGCAGGTTCAGAGGCCTCGCTACATGTACCCCACCTACAACTGTTCCCATGCAGGCCCAGGACAGCCTCACCCAGGTGGGCCCAGATGGACCCGCAGGGGTCCCCATGTGTCTTAAGCTGCTCTTGCCTGCCACGCAGGCAGTGATGCTGACTAAGCCATGGCTCGTGAACAAAGGAGGGCGCAGGGTTCCCCAGAAGCCAGCCCCACCAGGCCTCCAAATGACCAAATGCTCCATTTCCTCCCCACACACCCAGGACCCTGCAGTGAGGAGGTGGGTGTGACTCAGGATGGGAGCATCTTAGGTGAGGTGTCTCTTAGCTCAGCAAGAGCAATCCATACCAGATGACTCGACCTGGGAAAAACCTAACCACTGGATAGCAAATGGCAATGACTCTCCCACTGGAGGCATGAGCCGGGGTCTCTACAGATGGAGAGGAGTTGGTGCATGTTGGAGAGGAGGGGATGAAGCACATCCATCTGGCGTCCAACTCCACATGACAAAACCACAGTTCACCAGAAAATTTCAGGAAGCTGGGTGGGCTGGATCCATTAGTAACACTAGGGGAAGAGGGGGGAACACAGGGCTAACCAGAAAGCCCTTGGTTTTCCCCAAATACTTCTACGGTGTCTCATCATGACTCCGCTCCCTCACACAACCTTCTGAGCATCAGGAGACCTTCTCCAGAGCTGAAGAGACCAGAGATCTCCCACGTGTGTGTGTGTGTGTGTGTGTGTGTGTGTGTGTGTGTGTGTAAGAGAGTGTGAATGAGGGTCTGTGTGTGACAGCACGTGTGTGAGCGAGTGAAGCACAGGTGTGATGGTGCTGGGGGTTGGGCGCCCTGTCTTGGTGCTGAATCTGGCTCTGAACAATTGTTGTTCTGTTTAGACCCAATCTCCGACACTGGCTTGTTTTCCTGAAATACTCTTCTGATATAAAAAGGACATAAGAAAACGAAAAAATTGTGCCATCCTAGGAGTGCACTCAACTTTGGAAATCAAAAAACAAATCCTTTCTTAAGAAGCAGCACCTGGGTGGCTCAGCAGTTGAACGTCTGCCTTTGGCTCAGGTCATGATCCCGAGGTCCTGGGATCGAGTCCCCCACTGGGCTCCCCTCAGCGAGCCTGCTTCTCCCTCTGCCTCTGTCTCTATGTCTCTCATGAATGAATAATAAATAAAAATAAACAAACAAAAAAGCAAAACAATAACTACCTTATAAGATTTAGCAGGTGAGGACAATGGCCCGCCTCTTGCTCACTACCTCTGGCTACACTAACTTCATCTCAGACTGCTCAGAAAGTGCTGGATACCACAGCGTCCACAGTAGAGATTTTATGGAACTTTAGAGAAAAAACACACACGCAGAAACCCCGAAGATAAATACCCCAACCCACACAGCCTAAGCATCAGCCAGGATCAGCTAAGCAGCAGGATTCCTCATCTCATTTTGGAAAAGTGCCCATGAGGACAAGCATGTATATCCTCAGTGGATCTCGATTCCTCCACAACCTGAGGCAGCCCACAGGCACTAGACCCAGCTTCTAATTTGTTTTTATGAGGTGTCACCGTAGGGCCATTAATGATAGTTTGCGCAGGGCCTGGCCGAGGAGGAGTGAGGAAGGGGTTGCATGTGCAGCAAGGGCCATGGGGAAATCTGGCCTCCATAAAGTGTGGCTAACCTTAATTAAAGTGCAGGTTTCCATACTCACAGTTGTGTCAGCCTGGGTAACTTGAATGCTTTCATAGGAAGCTGGGTGATCCTGTTTTTGCTCAAGCGGAGCATTACCAGCGACCGTGACAGACCATCAAATGCTCCCGACTCCAGGGTGCCAATCCGGTTGCTTGCCAGGTTGCTGGAACGGCGACAGGGCAGAAAATGTCATGGTCAGTAGGGGGCCTTCCTCAGGCTGGTACAGACACCAGACCTTGCTGAGCTGGGGACAAAAGCTAAACACACCCAGGGGGACAGGTGTCCGAGGGCACATTCATCGTCTTTACTCCTGGACAGGGGAGCAGGAAACTGGTGCGTCAGGACCATGCCCTTCAGGCCCTGACGGATGGTCACTTCAGCCTGGTGCACACTATGCTGGTGGCCAGGGCTGCCTCCACCGGGGGGCAGGGTCGATGTCACTGATCCCAGCACCCCAGCACCCTCACTGTCCAGCCGGGCTGTGAGAGGGCCCGCTGCACAGCCACCCGTGGGATTCCCTCAACACCCACTGAGACCCAGGGTTCGAAGTCAGCAGGAAAAGCCCTAGGAATCAGAAAGTCGACTTCCAGGCACAGTCAGAACCGATTTAATAAGTTAGAGAGGCAGCCTTACATTGTATTTACTTCTTAAAAAGATTTACTTATTTCAGAGAGAGCGTGTGTGCACACATGAGCAGGTGGGAGGGCAGAGGGAGAGGAGAGAATCTCTAGTAGGGACCCTGCTGAGTGGGGAGCCCAACTCGGGGCTCGACTTCCTGACCCCTGAGATCATGACCTGAGCCGAAATCAGGAGTCGGATGCTCACCTGAGTCTCTCAGGCACCCTACCAGCCTAAATTTTTTTTAAGATTTTTATTTATTTATTCATAAGAGACAGAGAGAGAGAGAGAGAGAGAGAGAGAGACAGAGAGAGGGGGCAGAGGGAGAAGCAGGCTCCATGCAGGGAGCCCAATGTGGGACCCGATCCTGGATCCCCAGGATCACACCCTGGGCTGAAAGCAGCGCTAAACCGCTGAGCCACCCAGGCTGCCCATTAAAGCGGGTCTCACTGTACAACTTTAGATCTGTATCTACACTCTCATAAACGTGTATAAACCAACTCATCTTAATCGTGTTAAATGTATCAAAGAGACACTAGTTAAACAGACCTGCCCAGGGTCCCTTTGGACAACAAGCAACTCCTCAATGGGACGTCCTCCTATAGAATTATGTCTGTAAAGAGCACTTCCCCTCACAACACACCGGGACATACAGATTGTACCTGTGAGTCCACTGTGTGTACACTCTATCAGCTAATAAAAGGAGAAAAAACAGAGAGGAAAGGAAAGAACAATATGTTATTCCTGTCAGAAGTTCCCGCTACTGCCACATTCCTTCCACCTTCCCTGGACAAATGCTGCTTTTTGCAGCTAAAGCATAAAGGAAAAAGACCAGAGAGAATTTGCTTCACCAGAGACGGGAAGGGGATGAGGCGTTTCTCACTCCTCTGTCAGGCGGTGGCCCAGGACAGGGCACACGAGGATTCTGTGCAAGCAGGGCTTGGACTGCTTGTTCCTAACACCCCACATTAAAGGGGAACAGTCTGTATGATGGAGATACATGGGCCAGGAGCTGCCAAAATAGAAAGTCCCTCCTGCTTTTGTACAGAGAGAGGTCACTGCAATTCAGTCCAGTGGCTGTTGGTTTCTTTGTCCCAAGCAAGGGAGTGCCAGGTGGCAACAGGACACCTCTGGAAAGCCCTGAGTGGGGGGCTCAGCACGGTCACCCTGGCTTTACAAAGGCCAGGGCCCCCCCATTTCCAATTCTGGTGCCCTGATGCAGCCTAAGAAAGAAATCACATCCCCTCCTTGGGATCTCGGAAAAATCTGGGTACCATACCTTGGCTTCCCTGAACAGAGGGGTCAAAATAACTCCTACAACACCCTCATGAACGATCCCCAAAATGAGTCAGGATGAGTAATGACGCGGGGAATGAAAACTCACATGTCATTTGAAGATATCTCTGGAGCCTGGGTTTTTAGTTTCTCCCCCACAGCAACAGTTTTCTACCAATAAACAGTAAGCTCAACAGGTTTGAATGGTTCCTCCTCCCTTCCACCATGCACTGGGTGTGTGAAGGGCTGTTAGGATAGGCAAAGGGGACACACACCAACAAAAAGATCTAGGTGGTCCTGGGAACCCAGATGTGGGAGTACGCACCTCCTCGAAGAGCGCTCACACAAGGCTTCAGGAGTGGGGTGCCACGAAGATCAGCACCCACCGCATAAGCCTCGGCAGGGAGGCTTCCCTGCAGGGCCATTTGCTACATACCCCTGAATCTTCCCTCCTCCCTCTCCTGGGAGGCAGTCCAGGCAATGAGAGAGAACACAGGCCTTGTCCTCCAGCTACACCTGTACTTGAGAGCTAGTGGCTCCTCTCAAGTGATGGGTCTGTGAGGCTGCTTCACCCACTCCCTGCCTCAGCTTCCATCTATGCAGTCAGGATAACGCTGCTCAGCAATGTCCACAATAGTCAGACTATGGAAAGAGCCTGGAAGTCCATCGACAGATGAATGGATCATGATGTGGTATGTGTACGTACACACACACACACACACACACACACACACACACACAGGTATACTACTCAGCCTTCAAAAAGAATGAAATCTTGCCATTTGCAATGATGTAGATGGAACCAGAGGGTATTATGCTGAGCAAAGTCAGTCAATCAGAGGAAGACAATTATCATATGATCTCACTCACATGTAGAATTTAAGAAACAAAACAGAGGATCAAAGGGGAAGACAGGAAAAAATAAAACAAGATAAAATCAGAAAGGGAGACAAACCATAAGAGACTCTTAATCACAGGAAACAAACTGAGGGTTACTGGAGGGGAGGCAGGTGGAGGGATGGGGAACTGGGTGATGGGCATTAAGGAGGCCACGAGATATAAGGAGCACTGGGTGTTATATGCACCTGATGAATCACTGACCTCTACCTCTAAAACTAATAATACACTAACTAATGTTAACTAATTGAAATTAAAAAAAAAAAAAGAAGAATGCTGCTTAAGTAGGAGATGCTCTACAAATACGCACACAGAAGACAGTGGACCGGGGTCCCCCGCCTTCTGCCCTGCTGAGGAAAGCCAAAGGTGCATGCCCAGCACCTCCCCACCCAGGCTCAGCCTGGGCACGGGGGAGAGGGAAACCCATGCTCTGCACCCACCCGGGTGCAGACGGCAGAGCAGGGGCACTTACAGCTCCTTTATGCGCAGCCCGTGCGGAAAGCAGGTGTTCCGGATCTCCGTGATGTTGTTCGAGCTCAGGTCCAGCACCTCCAGGGAAAGGTAAGCCTTCAGCTGACTCCCCTCCACACCGCGGATCTTATTGTGCTGCCTGAAACACAAAGAGGGAGGGGACTGGAGTCTGTCTGTTTGCAGAGAAACAACATTTTCCCCACTGTTTCTTTCAGACACCTTCTTCCCTGATTCAGATAATTCTCAAAGTGGTGCTGCTCTTCAAATGAGGTCTCCTCTTCTTCTTTCTGCAAAGTTATCACCTGCTGGCTGGGTGCTAGACAGAAGATCGAATTTCCTGGCAGTGACATGTTTGTCTGCCCAAGTTCAAAGCCTAGGCTGCTCTCCCCAAGGACAAGAATGCAGGGGTTATGTACACCATGCAGAGAACACCGAGCCAGAACTCAGAACTCACAAGTGTGCATTCCCATAAAGAATGTTCCTGGTGAAACCAACCAGCTCCTGGTGGGGTTCTCATCTAGAATCTTCAGAATGCAGCCCAAGCCCATCACTTATGGGACTGCAGGCACCATAGCCCAGAGTTCAGGTCTAATCCAACTTAATGCTCATCACACACCTCATGTTTTGCCACATGTGAGGACAGGCACAAGGGATTTTTTTTTTAATGGCACGATTCTGACAACCTAAGAACAGGATTGATGCTCAGTCTACCTGGAATTAGATCCAGGTAGAATCTGGATTGAATCTGACCCTCCTGACTCTACCCTCTTGATAGCTTTGTTCCTCGGTTTCCTCGTATGGAAGATGGGGCCGTGACCTCTTCTTTTAGAGACATGGATCACCCAGCTGAAACCACACGAAAGCAGATGTTAACCTAAGTGTTCAGAGTGCTTAATCCCCACCCAAAAAAGGCATTTTACCACCATGACTTATTTGCACCTATAGTCCTCTTTCTGGAAACCCCTGAACTTAACCAACTAACCA